GAGACTACAGAACCAATAACCGTTTGAAGAGGTGTAGCCTGACTCTCCTGTTGTGGGAGGCTGATTCCCTTGCATGGGGGAAACCTATTTGTTGCAGTTTTTTTTTCTTTTCTATCATTTATGAAGCCTGCCCTTGTGTTCCAAACTTCCAAGTATTAGATTCTTCTAGTGAATTAAAAAGATTATAGTACCAGGATATAAACCTTGGTGCAAAGGCTAAGAAATAACAGAAACAATATTCATCACTTTCCCTCCCTTCTTCTACCTCTAGCCCTTTCCATGCCCCTGCTTTGAAGCTGACAGTCTTTTTCTTTATTATTTTTACATATGTGTGAGCATATGCATTTAATGTATATGTATATGTTTCTGCAGTCAGCATTGGGCAACCTGTAAATGAGTTTATCAGTGGTTAAAAAAAAAAAACAGCTAATTTTTTCCTTTTCCAGCAGTCACTTTATTTTTAAAAGAAGTGTTGAAGTATATTTTTATTTGCATACAAAGTAAGGCATCATAAAAGTATAGAGTTCTCTGTTTCCAAAAATTACTAAAATCCTGTAATTAGCAGAGCTAAATAAATGCAGAGCTTTGGTGCTGTTCAAACCTCCCTAATGCTACTTTGGAGTGAAACCACCTCCCAGCCTATCCTGAATCCATAAGCAATACCCTTCTGTTCTTTCCCCCAAAGTTCTACCTTTCCCAGATTGTCGTATAAGTGCAACTGCATAATATGAGTCCGTTTGAGTTTCACTTCTCTCATTTCACATTTTTGCATTTATTAATGAGTGATGAGATTATATATTAAGTTTGATGTTTTATTTCTTAGTTATATTCTATTTCATGAATGCCACTCAGCTTTTCTTCTTTTAATTTTTAAAATTACTCTATTAGAAAATTACTCTAATATGCTGAATTTTATTTTGACATTTTCATATGTACATGTGTAGGTAAACACATATATATGTCAAACTTGGTGTATTAGTTTTTATTGTCATGATAAAATAGTATGACCAAGGTAACTCATGAGAGAATATGTTTATTTGGGCTTATGGTTCTGGAAGGATGAGTTCTTTAGCATTTATATAGATATTCCAGTTGAATTGGACAACTGCTGAAAATATATGCATTCTCCAACTGATTGCCTCAGTTCCTTTGTTGATAATCAAGCAAACATATGGGTGTGTGTGGTTATTTCTAGGTTCTTATGCTGTACTGATCTATATATCTGTAACTATCACCACATTATTTGAGTCTAATTTCATTCTAAGTCTTAAGACTTATCTGTGTCCTTCAACATTGTACTTTCCTTTCCAAATCATTTTGACTATTCTTTCTGTTTGTTGTTTGTTTTGTTTTGCTTTTTGTTTTTTGAGACAGGGTTTCTTTGTGTAACAGCACCAGCCATTCTGGTCCTGAAACTCACTTTGTCCCAAGCTGTCCTCAGGTTCACAGAGATCTACTGCTACTGCCTCCAGATTTCTGGGATTAAATGCTCAACACTACCATGACCTAATATTTTGACTCTTCTCATTTCTTTTCTTTCTTTTTCTGCATATGAATATTAGAATCTTGTTAATATTAACAAAAAGATCCCCATATGGGAAAGACACGATTAATGTTGGTGTTGAGTTATACTATAGATTAATTTCAGGGAAAATGACAGGTGAATGACATTCACCATTGAACTCATGAATACAGCATGTATCTCCAGTTATTTAGGACTATGTGCTTTCAGCATGTGTGTGGACATGTATGCAATGCATGTTTGTTAATTCAATAAAATAAAATAGAAGACACAAAATTAAATCAATAATATCACCCTTGTAATGATCTTACTTCACTTTTAATATCTTTTCTTGTTGATCTACTATATTTGACTTCACATGATTATCAGATAACTTCTTTCATATTCTTTCTAGATTTATTTATTTATTTATTTGTTTATTTATTTATTTATTTATTTATTTTCGCTTGCAGTTAGCAGGACAAACCAGCTACAGTGTGCTTACTTCAGTTTTCACAAGATTGAAAAAGAATTGGTTTTAGTTTTGATTTTCTAAACATATCTTTTGTGGTAATGGTCTGGATTGTGATCAGATTAAGAACTTCCAGTTTGAAAACACCAACTTTGAGGATGCTCCCCATGGTTAAGTTATAAAGGGTACAAGATCAATGAGAAAGTTGAATGGATTTATCTGAGGTAAACAAGTGGATAAGGTGAATATAGACCATCGGAGCATTCTTTCCACATTCGTACAAATTCCTCCTTTGTTGACAGTGCCATGGTGTTTAGTTTTAAGGTAAATGAAATGGAAGGTGATAATCTAGTATTTATACAATGTCCAAGTTCTGTATAGGAATACCTCTTAGTAGGAAATGCCTTGCTGACAAATAATAGGGGTTAGCATGTAACATGGCATCACCACATTGTCATTTATTTGGACTGAAAGAGATTGTAATTTTGTGTATCCAAATATATATCAGCTGACTGGTAAAATCCAGCTCTTTCAAACTGTGTTTCGTATATAAAAAAAAAACATTATTATTGAAGTCAATGTAAGTAGGTTTTACTTCTCGTAATCAACGTTTTTATTTCATCTCAAGAATTATAAATCACTAAGTATATTTCTTCATTCTCAATATTAATTACCTATTTATTATTTTATGTCCTGTTTTTCTATTATTTTTAACACAGACTTATGAAATCTTCATGGTCCTACTCTTGCTTTGTGGTACTGTACTTCCTGGATCTCTAATGCTGTTTCTATTAAGCCTGTGAATTCTCCTAAGGACCTTCATACTAACTCTTTACCGAACTAGAAATTTGTGGAGCAGTCCAAAGTAATGCTCAGAGCAATCCATTGAAGTGAATTTTATCTAAACCTGTCTGAAATGCCTTTAGAATATTGTATGCCTGTATTATCAATATAGAAGTCTGGTAAATTTAGATGTTTTTTGATGAAGTGACTTTCTGATTTTGGACAAAGTGAGCAGATGTGCAAATCCAAAGACATATTTAAACTCTTTGTATATACATGCTTATATTTTTCTTATAAGTGTTTGTAGCATATAATATCATGTGAGGCACTGAATTGGGATACATAAATCCCAACCATGTTTGGAAAAACTCGGGGCATTGTGAAGATTGAATAGCAGTCTTTATATACAGAGTTTTCCAGCTCTGGGCAGAAATCCCAGAGGCACAATTTACAGCACATTCACTCATTCACAATTTGTGCCCTAGTGCTGATCTTGCTGCCCAGGCTGCTGGAATGATTAAGAGATGATTCTCTTTTTTAAAAGCCCTCAAGTAGGTCATTGTGAATTAATTTTAAAATAGATTTATAATTATCTTTTTCAAATGAGCATTTGTTCCTCCGGTTAGTCATCCAAACGAAGTGGGGAGAGCAATTCCTTTGTGCCCATAGGCTTCTAATGGATCAAACATGTCACAATATATATGTAAATGTTTTATTCATAATATATTGGGTTTTGTGGTTTACAAATTGCATTTGCATTATTTATTTATTTTCCATAATAGTTCAGGATAGATTGAGCATATATTAAAAGCTCCATTTATACTTAATCAACTTGGGCAGAAAGAAATAAATGTGTACTTGATAACCAGCTAGTTTCGCTTCCTCCACTTCCGTCTTGCATCCTCTTACCCAATTTGGCTGCTCTCCTTCTTCCCTGTGGTCCCATTTCCAGAATCATGACCCTGATGCACACATGTGCATGTGCGTGTGTGTGTGTGTTGTATGTTATGTGTTTGTGTGTTTCTGTGTATGCATCTAAGCTCCATGTGTGAAAGAAAATATGAAGAATTTGTCTCTCAAAGTCTGACTTCTTTGTGTTAACAATGTACAGTTCTATCATTTTTCCTTGTCATGTGACTTTTTCCTTCAAGGCTATAAAATCTCACTGTTGATATGCATTACAATTTTTTTTCATTCATTTGTTTATGGTCATCTATGCTAGTTCAATTTCTTTGCTACAGCCAATAGTGCCAAGTAAATACCAATGTGCAAGTGTCTCCGTGGTAGGACTGGGAGTCTTTCTGGGATGATCCAAGTTGTAATGTGTCATATGGTAATTTTATTTTTAGATTTTTGAACAATGTCTACACTGATTTCCACAGTGTGCACTAGTTCACATTTCTTCCGAAAGCAGTGGGGCTCCTCTTTCCCTGTATCCTCACCAGCATTTGTTGTCATTTTAAGCTGGGTGTTATAAATATGCATCCTCTCCTGAATGGTAAATCCTAAGACGTTGTTCTACTCCCACTCTTCCTATGTGCCCCTGCTCTCTTATGTGAATGTATTTACTCTGTTCACTGAACATGATAATCCCACTCCAACCTCAGGGCCTTTGCACATCCTGTGCTTAGAATGTTCTTCTAAGAGTCAGTGCTTTAGGCTTGTCTGCTCTCTACACCATTTCAGTACCTTCGAGAGGCTTTTCTCCACAATATCACAGACAAATGTTTTTAAATTTGCTTCATTAGCTTGGTGGACTTACAGCAGTTTTGATACTCTGTTCATTTATCTATGATTTATTTATAAATTCCCTGAAGTCAGCCTTTGATCTACCCCCTAAGCACTGCCAGTCACATACCTGGCATGAATTAAACATTTGTTGTATGAGTCAGTGTATGAAATCTTAGATTTGATATGCTAGTTAATTGTTTCAGGACAGAGGAAAACAGGTACCTATCCATTCTGTTAAGTTAGTATTTATGTCATACCTAAAACAAACTTATGTACTCTATTTTGTAAAAGAAAAAAATTAAACAGTTATGTAATTGCTTGTTGATATCTATATTCCTATAACATATAACAAATTCTGTGTAGATATTCTTTCTTCACCCTATATTCATAGTGCCTACTGGATGTTAAATGCATGTCAGGTAGTAGGTGCTTTCAAATAATGAGTTAAATCCATTAATAGTTATACTAGTCTGTTCTGATACAAAGTAACTATATTTCTTCTCACATTCACAGGACTATACCTTGACCATGTACTTTCAGCAAGCTTGGAGAGATAAGAGGCTATCCTACAATGTAATACCATTGAACTTGACATTGGACAATCGAGTGGCAGACCAGCTCTGGGTGCCTGATACTTATTTCCTGAATGATAAGAAGTCCTTTGTCCATGGAGTGACTGTCAAAAACCGTATGATCCGCCTGCATCCAGATGGCACAGTTCTGTATGGCCTCAGGTCTGTAATATGGATCCTAAATTTAATTTTTCCTGAAAAAATGAAAGCCCCACTGCCTGTTGTCTGGGGAAATATTGTACTGTTTTTTTTTCTTCTTTCTGCAGTTCTGCTGCAAGTGTCAAACCTTCTATCAGGGATATATCTGAGAGCTTAGGAGAGTATGTGTACAAAGGACTTAGCTCCCACTAAGACTAAGTTGTTACTTTTTCTTTTTTTTCTCAATTATCTCCCAGTATCAGATGCTGATACTAAAGTGACTTTCTTTAAGGAATAGGGATAAACAATGTCAAAATAGCTGAAGCACTGGGTTTCTTTGAAACTGGAAAACAGAACTCCCTGCTTGTTGAATGATTGTTTGAACATGGCAGATGCCACTGAGCTGCTGAACTGGGTCATGGTCATCAGGTGATAGACAGGAGTACCATGCCCTCTCATTCTCCAAGGTGCAGTCAACTTACAAACAAAATACCATCTCATGTTTATCAATGCTTAATTTGTGCTCTTAAATGTACCTTCAGAAAAGCATTTAGGTACCAGGCTATTTGGATGGAAATAATTTGTAAAGAAAGTGAGTTTAATTTCAATTAAAACCAATAAATGGTGTTCTGGGAAAAAATGAAACTACAACTTTATTCTGAAATGATTTCCATGTACACATTTTATTTTTGTGGTATAAGGAAACCACTCTAAATGTTACCATTTTGAATTGCCACTAATCCATTATTTTGCATAAAATATTATTATTCTGAAACTGTTTCAATGTAAACATTTTTTGCATGAGAGAAAGAAATGACTCTGAAATCCAACCTTTTCAGTTACCTCTGATCTGTTATTTTGCATAAACATGTGTCTATCCTATGATAATAGTGATGATAGTGGTAACAATAATGTTGATTAGTGGAACCCTTTCCAGGGGTTACACACTGAACTGAGTGCTTTCCACACACTATACAATTGCCACCAACACACTATCTGCATCTTATCTTTCTTGATTTTCCTTATCCAACAACAGTTGTGATCAGAACATACTGTGTTACAAGAAGTTTTCCCACCAGCCTGGTCCCAGAGCATTATCAGCCCCAAATAACACACAGAGATGCTGTATTAGATATAAAGCTATTGGCCTGCTACTATCTTTTCTTATTGGCTAGCTGTGTCTTAAATATTAACCCATTTCTTTTAATCTGTTTCCACATGGTCTTATCTTACCAGAGACAGGGTCCAAAACTCTTCTCTCAAGTATCTACATCTTGACTCTCCTCCTACATCTCCCAGAATCTTCCTTGTCTCCTAGCCCCACCTACCTTGACTTCCTATTGGCTAACAGGGCTTCATTCATTAAAAAAAAAAAAAAAAAAAAAAAAAAAGAACTTTTACAGAATGACATCTCCAATCAATACTGAGTGGAAATGATCAGAAATGAAAGTAGAGTTCACATTGTGTATTATTATGACTAGCATGATGAAATCTTATTTGCCTAGATATTCATTCCTATCTGAGAAATTACTTACTCTTTTCCCTACAAATCTATGCTATAGCTAACATTTAGTGTCTTTGTAGCCATCTTGGTGGTCAAGTCAACCATCATTTAATTGCAGTACCTGTGTTCAAATAACCCTTTATTTTTCTTAATAACATCCCTGAAGCACAGGAATAGGGGACTGACAATTTAGATAAACCAGAATGAAACTGTAGAGATACCATATTTAGCAAACATGTAAATTTTATTCTTTTTGTTTGTTTGTTTGTATTTGTTTTTCAAGACAGGGTTTCTCTGTATTGCTTTGGACCCTGTCCTGGAACTAGCTCTGTAGACCAGGCTGGCCACTAACTCACAGAGATCTACCTGTATCTGCCTCCTGAGTGAAGGGATTAAAGGAGTACACCACCAATGCCAGGCAAAATAAATTCTTATTAGTCATACCTAAGACTTGAAAAGTGATAGCCATAAAGTTAGTTTAAATAAGAAAGACATCTGGGTTACAGATGGAAGACATGGACATAAAATACATCCCATCTTACAGGAATATGCTTTGTGAGACATGTTGACTCTATATGATTACTTCAACAAAGGGTACTGAGATGAGTGGCACCATGCCATGCATGGCAAGTAATAGTGACTTCCAAAGGTTGAGGGGGTATGACTGAGACACCAAGAGAGTTGCTGGAGAGAATACACCTGAATGTTTCAAGTCTGCTGCTCTGTTTCTAAAAAACTTGAAAATACTGATGAAAGGGAATAAATGTATGAAGAAACAGTGTTCAGTTGTAAAGAAACCTAGTTCTTTGGCAGGAAATCCCCTGGGAGAACCCAAATTCATATAAGTGTAAAGGGTGTATTTTCAGGACACATGAAGGAATGATCAACTCTGGCACTGTATAGCATCATTGAGGTGAATTTCATCATCAGGTGACATGCACAGAATAAATAATCTGTGTCTTTGAAGGGCAGAGAGAGAGACCATATGCCATGTTCTGGCAATATAATAAAAAAGTTGGGGTAGCAGCCCTTTTTTCCCTGCAAAGTGTTTTCACTGTTGCTTTACATACAAAAGAAAAACTTATCTGGAAGAAGAAAAACTTAAGTCCTATTAATAATATGCAATGCATCTGGCTTTTCTGAATGTTTGGTGTATAAATGATTATGTTGAAGCTGCTTTTACTTCTAACAAAATGTCTGCATCTCAGATTATTAGTAAGAACACAGGTAAACTGGAGAAGGAATAAACATTTGTCCAGTAGTTGATTGAATTAATCTGGACACTGTCCAGTCATGGAAACACTTCACTGATGTTAATGTATGAAATGACACTTATTGAAGCCACAGTTAATGAATTTCTGAAATACTTTATAGGTGAAGCTGAAAATAATTTAAGAAAAAATTAGAAGAAACATTCATGGAGCACTGCATGATAGTAAAATGGACTTTGTAATGTTCTTGGTAGAAAGTTTGAACACACACTAGGTGCTATCAAGACGTGGTATCAATAAGGGGAGTAGCTCAGTCCTGCCTCAACTTGATGTGTCATGCTTTGCACAATCCCATGGGAGGCCTGCCCATTTCTGAATGGAGAGATGGAAGAAAAGTAGATGGGGAGAGAAGATGGGAAAAGACAGGTGATGAGAGGAGAGTAGGGATGGAAAACTGGTTGTATGTAAAATAAAATTTTAAAAATGTTGTTAAATAAAATCAGCAAAAGTATTTGTAATAGCCAGAATATGGCTATAATACCAACACTCAGGAGGTAGACGCAGGTGGCTTTCTGTGTATCCAAGGCCAGCCTGGTCTACAAAGCGAGTTCCAGGTCTACAAAGCCAGAGCTCCATAGTGAGACTCTTGTCTCAGAAAAAAATGAAGTGTTAACAAATAAGAAATGAAAAGAATTTGTGTTGACTGCATATGAATAAAAAGAAAGGGATGAATGACTTAGAAAATAATATATTTATCATATAAGAATTATTACACCTTAAAATTCCCAGAACCCAAACCTGGGTCTAGTATTTTGTCTGTCTGAAATCCAGTGTTTGCATGGTGAAATGAGATATAGACATAGGAGAAAGCCTGAAAATGTGCAGTTTGAAGAACATGACTTACTGAATATTTCATTTCTGAAATTATTCTAGTTTGAGTTTTATTCGATATTTCCAGGTATTTGATGGATTCTATTTTCAATAATGAACTGATTTTCTCAATTCATTCAACTGATTGTGTTTTCTTGGAATTGATTCCAGAGATTATTTGCATCCTCTTTCAATTAACTCATGAGTTATTTATATCCACTTTGAAATTTTGGGACATATTTATTATAATTTTAAATTTTAAATTTTAAAATTTTGTCTAGAACTTTGTCTAAGTCACTGTCATTGGCAGCCAGAACTATGTGATGGTTAATTTTGGAGGAGATATTTTGTCTTTGCTCTTTTAGTCTAGTGTTTTGTATGTTGGAATTTGTCAAACTGCAATAAGATGAGTTGAATGAGTGTATAGTGTTAACATTGCCTTTGCTTAATGAGTCTTGACTGGGCTCAGTGTTACTTAAAGTTCAGTAGTGGAGGACTTGGCATTGGCCATGGTAAGGGTAAATGAAGATAATCTTGGCTTTGTTGAGAATAGGGTCACAGGCTGTGTCTTAATACTCCAGAATTAGAGCAGTGTATCAATGGGTATACCAGGGGCAGCAGTTTCATGTGCCCACTAACCTTAAGAACATGGTTTCATAAGGTACTATGAGAGAGGGAATCAATGCTATGAGTTCCATTATCTCTATATTCACAAGCCAGGGAGTTTGAAGAGTGTTGTGCATGTGTGATAGACATTGATGGATCATGTGACAGAAATAGAGGGATCCTGTCCTCTCACTTCTTTGGTGGTCAGGGCAGCAGAGCACACATGGGGAGGGAAGTGGCTCCCACTCCTACTATGGCTTTATTAGTCTCTATCTTGCTTGGCTTCAGTGAGATTGCTGAGTAGGTAAAGTATGCCTCTGAGGTAGGAGACTTTAGCTTTCTTACCTGTTTAGGCCTGGTTACCTGTAAGGCCTATGGGAAAATGGAAGAATGCATGAAAGGCAATGTACTGAGGGATTGCTTACCTATGAGGACCATGAATAGGCAAGGTAAGGATGTGTACCTCAGAGGCAGAGTGTATGGAAACCCCTTTATCTGTGATCAGTGCTATCAAGCAGGCAAATGCATGCCAGAGGCAGTAGTTCCTGGAACTTGCTATGTGTCTGTGCTGGTTGACCATGGATTGGCAGAAGTGTGCACCTAGAAGCAAATGGTTTGGGGGCCTCTTATATCTCTGAGCTGGATGCTAGCAGGGCATCCTGAATTCCTGAGAGCAGAATATCATTATTTTTCCATTTCCACTTCCAACAAAGCCTCTTGACACAATAAACAATTTCTTAAGCACCTGTGACATTCATTAAACTAGCACTTCAGTGGCAAAGCCGGCTCATTAATTCTGATTGTTCTCTCAGTTGCATTGTTGATCCGTAGAT